GCTTCCACACCACTAAACATCCACTTCAAAGACAATTTTCTGCAATGCTCACATCTGTTTACACTTTCCTTTAAGCTTTGAAGGATTAGCAAGAATGTATTTTATGGAAAGCATATCACAAGAAGAGCAGATAGCATAGATTGTCTCAGACAGGGTGAAATCAGGAGAAGGGACCACGCGCTCAGTTCACTTCAACCTTATTACCAATTGTTTGTGGACAAAATGCTCAGCAACCCTAATGCCTAGTCCCTGTTCTAACCCCGTTAATAGAAATCTGGTATTTTTCTTCCTCCTCATTGCATCTCGAAACCTGCCCCCTCTGTACTGCTTCTCCCCAGGCCAGAGTCATCTACCTGAATTTTATTAATCCCAGAGGTGACTTTTTTGTTGCCCGGCAGCATTTAAAAAATGAACCCGAATACAGCTGTTTCCCTTCAAGGAAGAAATAACATTAACATGTATAACAGAGTTAAATGAGGTAAAGCATGAAAGGTGCTAAATTTAGCGCTAGTGGAACAATACTAAGATGATGCAAAGAGAGTTCTTTTTGGCATTCCTCCCGGAAAAAGTCGAAGGCAGACCTTTGTAAAGCAGCCTGTCACTGCAGGCAGCATGGAGGGCTCGCCACTGCTCAACGTCCTCGATTGCCTGTTGACTCTGCAAGCCAATCAACAGCTGTCTCATCTCAACTGGATAATGCAACATCAAGGTACTCGTAGAGTCTTTGCTGTCACCCTGGATCTGCTCCCCCCTCTCCACATTCACTGCCCACTATGGGGCCTAAGGCTAACATGGAAGTATTGTTGCAACATTCAAGTATGCAACTGCTGTTTGTCAGTAGCCAAAGGCAAATTGTAAATTGTTACCTAAGTACAAGAAACAGGTGAAGTCATTTCCACGGTCACAGTAACTCAAGCCTTTCCAGTCAGGGCCACTTAAACACATATGCAAATTTATAAATAATACAAAACTGTTGGACATCTTAAATTAAAATTTTGTATTATACTACACCAAAATTTTATTACCATAAGTGAGTGTTTTTGTGTGTGAACAAGGAATTTACTTTAAATGTTCACTTGTTTGAGAGTTCAATATTGTTTTTCTAAAATTATTTTGCTATGTTTGAGTCTCATGAGTTCCCTGGTAAATTACTAGCTCACCCATAGATCAGTGAGTTTTTGTATATAAATATGTGTACGTTTGCCATTCAGTTATGGACCAATAACAATTACAAACATTCAAACACATGGCAGTGCTCTGCAAAGGAAGTTCCAGGGCAACTTCCTCTTTCCGCAGAATGCAAAGGAAGGCGATGAAAAGATATCAAACTCAAATGAAAAACTTAAAAAATATACACAAAAAAGCTACACATGGGCCAAACCCCGAATTGCAAAACATTTTAATGTTCTCAACAGCACATAGACTTTTGCGCACAAGAAGCCTGCATAAGTGAATGTCCCCATTTCCAGTTTTTCCCCCAGCAGTTCACTGCATCAGCGATCAGTGATGAGCAAACAGTGACACAGGTCTAGGGTGTGCCATTTTTAGGTATTGCTAATTATCTGACCAATAATTGTTGTCAGACCATTAATAGTATAATATTTTGCAATTTGGGGTTTGGTCAAATGTTCTTTTCTGCCCAGCTGCGTATTGCCATGATCTGACATAAGTAGACATTCATGCATTATCCATCATTAGCCTAAAAATATTCAGTTATTTCCCCTAATGACCCTGCCTGCTATCCGGACTGGAGCAGCCCATAGAATTTAAGGGGACTACATTTTGGTGATAATGGGTAATGAACTAAATACACAACCACATTCTAATCAGTATAATTAAAAGACTTCAGACAAAATTCTTTTAGAGGTGGTTTTGGTAACGCTTTACTTGATGCTGTCATCTATAATGCACTATACTGTAGATACTGTACCTTTATAATGCATAATAATGGATGGTATAAGAATTAATAAAGCATTACAGCATTTTCTATTGGCAGTGGTAAGGCATTATAGTTGATTATAATAGTTCATAAGCTCCAGTGAAGCTCTCATCTATAAAGCATTATACTGTAGATACCTTAATAATGCATTATAATGGTTGGTATAAGAATTAAGGATGCTTTGTACTGCATCATGAAAGTATCTATGCTACATTATAGAAAAAAGTTCCATAAAGCATTCATAATAAACATGGCTATAATGTGTTATGCCTTTTTATAAATACTTATAGCCATATTTATAATGCTTTATGAATGCATTATAATGTGTTATGAATGTGTCCATAGATTCTTATAGGCATGGCATTCATAGAAAGGGTTACCGTGTTTTTTTATTGTCACGATGTGTCAGCCAACATATCCATACATGTACAGTGTATGCTTATATGAACAACAAGGGTAACACTGTAAATATGAGACAGAACGATTTTGCAAAAGCAGAACACTTAAGATATAACGTCCCTCCTTTAGTTCATGCCAAATTATACCGACTGAGGAAAATAACCATATATCTGTTTCATATATGTCCCTTTTCTTTGGCAATAGCAAACAATATATTTCTGTGTTATAAATTCCATTGCAATGCAGTTATACAGCTTATACCTCAGTTATATAACTTTATACAAATTTATTGGTACAGAAACGATACAGATAATGAAGTGAATCATCTGAATACAGATGAAAAAGGAAGCAGATGATTCAACACACTAGATATATAATTACTCATTTCTGGAACAATTTCAGCCAATATTAGTATTATTAATTATTATTACAATTTCAGCCAATATTATTATTAAACTTCAACTAAAAAATGAAGGAGGTAAATAATTCTCTTATGAGGTTTCCTGTTTTTAAATAAAATGTGCACAAAAATAATGAAGAAGGAAAACTGTGAAGAAGTATGACGTAAAGTTGATCAACAGTTTTACAAGTTTTACACAACATCAGTATTTCACATCCGCTAGCTTTTTTTTTTACTTCAACGTTACTTATGCTTAGACTGACTAAAAACTTAATTTCAAAGTTTGAAACCTTTATTATAGAAATAAAAGAACTACAAAAGTGAATAAATATTAACAAATAAATAATAAAAAGCATCTGTATTATTCATCTCATTATGATTTTTATAGATGTTCTTCTTCATTTACTATAGCTCCATAAAGATGCAACTGACAGTCAGATGGATGGACCCCCCAGGCTTGTTCTCATCTGTATATGTGTCTGTGCGTCACAGAGAGCAAAACTGGGAAGGGAAGAAGAGAAATTCCACACAGGGATTAATAAATTATCACTATTTGTCAGGATCAATGTATGCCCTGCCTTGTTTGTCATTGCCCTGTTTGGCCAGCAGGTGTCACTGGCTGCCCCATTTGTAGTGTTTGAGTCCTAAGTTTTTAGTGATTATGACCCTCACCTGTGGTTTCTTACTCCTAGTCCCTAGTGTTTGGTTAATCATCTATGGCCCACACCTGTTTCTTGTCTAGTCCTAGTTACCAATGTATATATGTGTCTGCCTTCCCTCTGTTCCTTAGTTGGTCATTGTATGTTACCTGCCAGTGTCTCTGTGATTGTAAATATTTTTATTGTGGTCTTTGTTTCTCCTCAGGTAACCAACCTGCCTTTATTTTGACCCTTTGTGGTTCATTTTTCTGTGTGCTGGAGTTCTGTTATAATAAAGTACCCATTTATTTTAAGCTGCACTGTGAACCATACCACAGTATCATACTATTCATCTGTGTAGGACCATACGCACCACCTGAACAATGTAGCCCTGATCAAATGCCCATCTAAGAGAGAGAGGTATTTAGGTAGATTGTAGCCTACTGCAAAAGCGCTGTGAGGATTCTGTTTATGTGCAAGCTTCGAAGACAACCATAATGGATCACAGTAATAACTTCCTGTTAAAAAACACATAGCAATCCATTACCCATAGGATTACAGGAGTCAATACAAGAATTATTCAAATGTTTAAATTCAGTGGTGATACATATAGCAGACTATTCTCTTTTCACAGGTGTCTTCAATCATATAATCACTCATTTAGAAAAGTTTTCACTGCTGTCTTGTGTCACTGGGTAACACACGGAATATAGAAACAGAAAGGAAACCAGAGTTGTCTGAGGAGGTTAGAGAGAAGATCCTTAACTAAGCATGGCCACAAGGCCATTTCTAAAGAGATTTAAGCTTCTTATAACGGTTCCAAAGGAAAGTATTAAAAGGATGTAAACTGATTTCCACGCTCAAGGTGCAACAGTTTCAAGTCTCACCATCTTTCACTGTCTGAATGAAAATGGCCTCCACAGTAAAAGACCTGCAAAGACCTCACTTCTATCGCAAACAAAAAATTAAAGTGGAGATTTCTAAACAGTATGTTGACAAGCCACAGTCCTTCTGGGAAAATGTCCTTCGGACAGCTTAAATAAAACTGAAGTATTTTCGTACATCACTCCACTCCATGAACAGCAAATTTTCATGATGGAGGGGTTTGTGCGCCTCTGTGATCCTTGGAGCTACGTTGTGGGGACAATTGCCCCTGGTAGGGTCTCTCAAGGCAAATTGGTCCTAGGTGAGCGGCCAGACTAAGTGTGATTCACATAGACCTCCGTGATGAAGGATAATAAGGACCATGTGACCCCGCCTAGATTGGGCAGATCGGGGTGTTTGTCAATCAGATTTTGTGAAAAAGTGTATCTAAGAACAAAAATTTGCTTCAGTACAGCCCATCAGAAATTAAGACTTAAACCTCTGATCCATACATTTTCATTATTTGATAACTTGGACAAAACTAAATTAAGATGAAAAACATAAAATGATTCTACTAAAAATGCATTGTCTCAAAATTCCTCATCAATGTAACATGAAATGAAGAAGAAAAGTACAGTTACAGTGTATTGTTTGTGAAGGAAGCATACCATTTGTAGGTTTACATTTGAGTTTATTTATGTACAAAATTTGAAGAAATATTTCCTGCATATACAAAGGAATTCTGTATAACTGAGGCCATCTAAGGGCCATTTCCATTACCTTCAGCTACTTCATCTTTGACCAGTTCTTTATCTGTCACGTTGTCATTGAGGATAATGTCCCCCTCTCTGTCTGAAATGAAGCAAGAGCCTTTGTTACAGAGCTGCCGTTCCAGCACAGTAATACGCTGCTTGAGTTGCTGCTGCGTGGCTGTGTACTCATTCAACAGCTGTGCAAAGCGTGTCTGTAGCGAGTCCAGGGAATTCTGCAGCAGCTCCACCTTCTCCTCAACATCCTCCCCTGTTGGCTTCCTTGCAGCATTCTCATCCAACAGCCCCTCTTTCAACAGAATTTCTCGACCGCGGTCCTCCAGCATCTTCTTGGCATCAGGGTACTCGGCCACCGCCTCCATCAGATCATCCTTGGACAGGCAGAATAGGTCAGAGTAGCCAATGCTGCGGATGTTGGCAGTCCGACGATTGCCCATCTTGCTACCCTGTATGTTTAGAATGCTGATCTCCCCAAAACAGCTGCCGGCAGTCAGTAGGGCAAACTGCGTCACCCCGTCATCTGACACGACTGCTAAGCGACCCTCTTTTATGATGTACATCTCTTTTCCAATGTCACCCTTTCGGCAGATGTAGTCACCGGGGCTAAAGACCTGTGGTCTCAACTTGAGGACTAATTCCACAAGTAGTCCGGCTTCACAGTCTTGGAAAATGCGCACTTTTTTCAGTGTCTCCAAGTGCACATTTATGGCGATTTCTGCCTGCAGCTTGTTTGGGAGGTTCTTCAGCACCTCCGCCTCATCCACGGCTTTCTTGTTAGTCCACAGGTAATCAAACCACTTGATGACACGTGCCTCCAGATCTTTGCTGACCTTTCGGAATTGCATGTAATGCTTGATGGCATCGATGCGAGCCTGAAACTCTGCCCGTGTGGCATTCATGTTGGAGATCATGGAACCCACGTTACCTACAATGGTGGCAAAGATCAGTACGCCAACTAAAAAATCGAAGACCACAAATAGATACTCCTCATCCCTGGCTGGTGGTGGCATGTCCCCAATTGTAGTGAGAGTAACAGTGGACCAATACAAGCAGAATATATAGCTAAGAGACAGTGATTCTTCTGAGTTTGTGAGATTAGGATAAACCCAGTTGTCTGAGCCAAAACCCAGTGACTTAGAGATAGCATAGTAGATGCAGGCATTCCAGTGGATGATGACAAGGATGTAAAGAATCAGATTGCAGATGCGAAAGATATTGGGGTAATTAGTGCGCGTCTCAGTGCGGTCAAAAAACTCAAACATACGAGGAAAGCGCAGCAGTCGATTGAAACGCAGCTGAGGCGTGTGGATGCCAGTGGCAATGTAAGCAAGATCAGTTGGTAGAATTGACATCACATCTAGCTTGAAGTGCAGTGTGTGGATGTAGCTCTTTCTAAGTTTAGACAGGTCTTTCACCAACAGGCCCTGTTCCAGAAACCCTGCGGGAGAATCAGTACAAGGTTCAGTTGTGCTGAAAGTATCACTTTTGTTGAAATAGTTATTAGGTTAACAAAATTCAGTAAAACAGTGAAGTAGGCCTGGGTGATGTCATATCGATATAATATCGCACATGTGCAATAATCACTAGGGCTTCAGATGACGTGCAAACCATTTGGCCGGACCCCAGATTTTCGATACTACACGGACGTTTACTTACACAAACAATTTGGTAAGCAGAATAGTAGTGCACCTAATTAGGAATATTGGTAATCTGTAAAAATTTGCCATACACTTATATTCAATAAACCTTTTGGACTTTAAACCGCCACACCACCGATTTATTTTTACCTTGTTAATCCACAATATCTTCTCTTTTAAAAGATATCACACTGACGTATACCAAAGCATATAGTGTACCAAAGCAGTATTATGTGGTCTGCTCCATTAAACAAATTTAATAAACATAAACATACACCAAGTTTATACCAATTACTAACTTTTGGGTGTCACAAAACGCATTTCATTGATATTTTAGCAGTACTACTAATCTGCTTAACAAACTGTGAGTGTAAATAAACATCCATATGGAACCAAAACAGGGACATACTGCCAAATGTTTCACCCGTCGTCTGAAGTCCTGGTGATTATTGTGCATGTGTAATATAATACCAATATGATATCGCCCAGTCCTACAATGAAGTATATGGCACTAGCAAAATTATTAGAAATATGGTATATGGAAGGTAAGGCTTGTGTAGAATTCTTGCTAATGTGCTAACCTGTGCGTAATCGAACACAGGTGTCCAGGATGTATACAACATCTGAAAGGTAATCCAGCACCAGCCACAGAATATAGCAATCTGTCTGAAGGGCATCAAAGCAGGCCCTGTAAGATGCAAAGTCAAAAGTATTTCCTCTGCCTGTAGAATAGCACAGGATCCTTCAGGATGTGTATCAAACACACATACACACACAAAAATCATGCAACATGAATAAAACAAGACAATCACATTTCTAATGTAATATCATGGCATGCAGTTATAGAATGAACAGAACAGCCCATTACCATACCTTGCCACGAGAAGGACCCAGTTGTAGAGGACAGCTGAGGCAATAACAAAGAGCCAATAGTAGTATCCATCATCAGCGGGCGCCACAACAAATGTGACGATCTTGCTCCTGTGATATACAACAATCCACTGAAACAAGTACATTGTGATACACCTTCATTAAAAACTAAAGATGAAATAGCTAAGCAACATGGTGCATCAATAAAAATGGCTAGCATGGTTAGACTTCTGTTGTGACTCAATGCCTAGAAAGGGGAAGCATTTTGTAAGCAGTGGATGCTGTCAGCATACAGAATATTCCATTTGCTGTCTGTGTCATTGGCCTGGCTGTTGCGACTAGGGGCGGTCCTTATCTCCGGCCCACGGAACCTCTCCAGAAACGAATCGGGCCTTTGTTCTTCCTCCAGCAGGCTCTTGTGGGCCCACTCCCTCAAAATCACCACAAGGCTTACCAATCTGTAAGACACATATGTTTCGGGATTTGTTACATTTAAAAAAAAAAAACTTTTTCACCTACAGGTGACAGGACAAATTTGCATTGTAATATACATTTTACAAGTTATTATCATTAATTTGTATTAATCACCATTAATCAGTGATCCCAATGACACATTTATATGCAGAAGATATAGGTTATTAGGTAAATACAATATAGCCAAATGTTGTAACATCTTGGGAAAAATCTATTTAGCTAAACCAGCCCTCAAAAAAGATAAAAACAATTATATAAAACAGGCAGATTAAATATTTTCTATCTAATTGGACAGAAGCTTATTGATTCTTAACAGTATCAATGATTGGGTGTGTCGAAGAAATTTATGACACTAAGACGGATGCCTTTGTATGTGACTTTGCTTTATGATTGAGCTCAAGGGAACAACCACTTCGCTGCCACCCTCGTGGTTATGCTCCAAAGACTTTCAGGTCAACATAACCTTTATAGGGGTACATTCACAGTTCGCGCCCCCTCCTCTGAACCAGATCAAACTGGTTAGGGTAGGGGCTGCACTTTGTAATACACATATGCCTTATGCAGACTGCATCTTTCAAACATGTATACTTCACGTGATCAGCATGCTGCAGACTTGGGGCACGTGAGGGGGCATCTATGCTTTTGCATGGCCTCTGTCTCTGTGGTGTCCCTGCCATGTCTGCTACATGCCCTCGATGCTCAGCCTTTGTCCCCCAGTCTGCATTTCTTGTCAATTCTAACATGTACCATGTTCCAAAACATGAGTGCAACACGTAGCTCAAACCTCAATTCTCTTTTAGCCTCGTGAGTGTCAGCTGTCTGTCACCCAGGCGTTCTTGCGATAATATATAAAAAATATATTCCAAAGCTGATTACATTAAAATATCTCTCCCTCTAGTCAGTATTTCTTTTACAGGTGACACAGTTTGTATATTATATAAAAACGCTCTGATAGAAAATGAGAAAGTAATTTGACATGGAAAGTATACAGTGCAGTCTTTATAAATTGGTAATAAATAGACTTTTTATGTTTTCGTTCAGGCTAGCAGACCGTTATGGGGGTCCAAGTATTATTCATGAATGTTCACATTCGAGGATCATCCACACTTAACCCTCACAAATGTTAACAGATTACTGTATACATTTTTAATTTTAAAAGTTTATATATGTATTTTCAGTTCCTCGTGAGATTCAGTTTTTATTTTGCGTCCTGTTTAGTGAGCCTAATATAACTGGCTATCTCACCGTGACAAGGCCCTTCTGCCACCTTGAGGTTCTATGGTGGCCATGCGCTGAAGCTCCGAAGATGTGTCATCGCACACTGAATGCAACCTAAGAACAAGAAAATTAATTAATGTACTAATAGCTAATGGATATAATATAGGAGTATATAGTCCCAACAGCAGGGTAACAGTAAAAGATGATTGTATCCAGGGTCACTGTAAGGGGGGGGGGGGGGGGGTGTATGGTATGCTTTCATGGGGCCCAAAATCTCTAGATATGCCTCTGTTTGTATCATACCTGTTCCACACCTAAGGTTCATTATTAGCTAATATGAACATTGATACTTTTTAGACTGCATATTTGCATCCCAGAATACCAAGCACAGTGCCCTCCGTAATGTTTGGGACAAAGACACATTTCCCTTGATTTATCCCTCTGCTGCACAGTTTAAAACGTCAGATGTGATCCAAGCACACATTCCGGACTTTAATATAAAGTTATTTGCATACATTTCATGCCGAAATGTTACATCATGTTGAAATTACAACCCTTTTTATCCATAGCCCCCCCCCCCCCATTTCAGGACACCGTAATGTTTGGGACATAGCAATGGTGTGTATATTAAAGCAGTCATGTTTAGTACTTCGTACTTGAAGTCTGTGGTTCAAAGACATCACCAGATATTCCTGGGAGATGCTCTGCCAAGCCTCTACTGCAGCCACCTTCAGCTCCTGCTTGTTTTGGGGGCTTGTCTCTTTAAGTTTCCTTTTCAGCATATGGAAGACACAGAACTCCCATGTTGCCTTGGCAATATGTTTGGGATTATTATATTACAGGATGAAGCGCCATCCAGTGAGTTTGGAGGCATTTAGTGGAACTTGAGCAGATAAGATCTTTCTACACACCTCAGAATTCATTGTGCCACTGCCGTCACCAGTTACATCATCATTGAAGATAATTGTACCAGTACCAGTGACAGCCAAACTTGCCCAAGCCATAGCACCCCCACCACCAAATGGGCTGGTATGCTTTGGATCTTTGCCAGTTCCTTTTCGTCTCCACGCTTTCCTCTTGCTATCACTCTGATACAAGTTAATCTTGGTCTCGTCTGTCCATAAGACCTTTTCTCAAAATTCTGCAGGATCTTTTAAGTACTTTTTCCCAAACTGTAATCTTGCCATCCTGTTTTTGTGGTTAACTATTAGTTTGCATCTTGCAGTGTAGCCTCTCTATTTCTGTTCATGAAGTCTTTTGTGGAGAGTAGTCTCTCACAAAAACACACCTACTGTACCCCCTGAAGACTGTTTCTGATCTGTTGGACAGCCATTTGGAGATTTTTCTTTACTCATGTCGAATAATGGCAAATGGTATAAGTAAGCCAAGGTATCTTATCCCTGCACTAAGGAACCAATGAAACACACCTGAGAAATTACAAACACCTGTGAAGCCAAATGTCCCAAACATTATGGTGCCCTGAAATGAGGGGGTTTATGTATAAAAACTGTTGTAACTTCTACCCGGTGAATCCAAAAGCTACGCAAATAACTTTAAATTAAAGCCTGGAATGTGCACTTTAATCACATCTTGTTTGATTTGAATTTTTAAACTGTGGAGCAGAGTGGTAAATCAATCAAAAATATGTCTTTGTTCCAAACATTATGGAGGACACTATACTTAATACATTATACTCTCACCGGCTGATGGTGCTGTCTGGTCTCTCTGTCTCATCCTTTAACTGTGTCTTCACTGACAGTTGATGAGATGAAAGGACTTTTTCCTCTACAGGCCCCTGGCCAGTCATCCTTTGCCCTACAAAATTAAGCCACAGAGAATGATATAATAGGAATGAGCTAGAAGCATGGAATTCAGTTACTGTTAACATCATCATCATCATCATCATCATCATCATCATTTTCCTATGAAATATGATATACTATATATTATACAATTTATCGGTCCACTGGTTCAGCGCAAGGGTAAATTGCAATGACTGATTAAACACTAATCAGTGAATGATTGTCAAAACATTAACTCAGTTGTATGCAGCTCAGCCATGTTCTGAGTATTGTGATCTGGATGCATGTTCTGATAAGAAATTGTAAATAAATAACAATCTATCTTCCATAACAGGGTCAAGTACAATAGCAAGGTGAGCCTTGAGTCTAACCCCAGGAGGACCAGGGCACAAAGCAGGGGACACCCTGTACGAGACGTCAGGCCACCAGTCAATCACTGCTAACGGCAAAACATTACAAATAACAGCAAAACATTACAAAAATCAGATGTATTATTGTGGTGGGGGGTGTAGATAATGAATATTACAGGCTCAACAGTCCTTGAGGGTGCAGAATGTTTTTGATGCAGCAGACCCACATGAAGAGGGCAAAAAGCGTATTGAAAACAGCTATTTAAAAATGAATGTTACTATCTAGCTACTATCAGCTTAATACTAGCAGTGGCACAACCAGGGATGCCAATGATTTACACGACACTCAGGGACGCGCACTAACCACACACATTGCCAGAGATGCCAGTTCTCACGCATCAGGCACGCTTTTTGCCTCACGCTCATGCAGGAAATCTTACAGTAAATCTATATTACGGTAAATCAACACACTTGTTACAAAATATCATATTTGGCACCATCTATTCCCTTTTTTGTCTAGACCCCAAATATAAGACGACACCACTTTTTCAGACATATTTTGAGGGGAAAAAAAAAAAGAAGTTATATTCGTCTTATATTTTGGCCAATTTGGTACTTCATGGGGATCCAGGACCTGGATTGGAAATGTTTGCTTTATAGTTTAATGCTCATGATCTCCATCCTCCATCTAACCAAAGTGCATTAGACAGCCGATAAATCTGCAGAAAGCCATGAGGGAGGGGCCTACCAACAGCCCTGAGTGGGGGGGCTTCCCGGCTAAGTCATTGCTGTGGAGACAACCTTGCCATCCATAGCAACTACTGGTGTTTCAACAGTGATGACTGCTCCTTTCCAAGAGTGAGAGGGGGAATAGGCAGTAGAGAAGAAGAATAAAATAAGAGAAAATTTGCAGTAAAAAACAGAAGAATCCTGTGACTGACTTTGTGGTGCTGTGTTGTCCACCACGGACCACATTACTGCTTAGACAAAGATTAATTTTTTTGCTTAAATACTCACTCTTGCTGTGTGTGCATAAGCAATCCATTAACAGATGACAGTTAAATGCAAAGCACAAGGTATTCAAACCAAACCATCATGAGGTTAAATTAAGAGATTTTGTTATACAGCAATTAGCCGATAAAGCGAAACACTATTGTCTAGTTGTAGATTTTTCTGACTGTATGCCATTTGTATTTCATCAGAATGTGATATGCAGTAGATAGGACACTGATTACAGACAGCAGAGACAGCTAATGAGCCTATTTAGAGATGAACTGAACAGTCTTTTACTAATTGGCAGATCATTTGGGGATGCACCTGCTTCAGTCACAGTGGTCTCTATGCGATTTTTCACTGTAAATTATATCTGGTAACCCATATGCAACATTATTACAGAATATCATCTTGTATAACGAAGAAAACTATTGTACGCAATAGGAAGAGTACAAACTGATAGCTCCAGTAGTTGCAATGCAGTCAATTTGCTTACATGAAGACTATGGTGTTTCAACCTACTTGTCTTTTTATCGTAATTAAACACACATAGTACTGGGAACTTAAGTGTATTGAGGCAAGGAATATGTAGTGGTATTGGTGTAGTGCTGCTGGTATTTATGTAAGACAATGAAAATACACACTGCTTATGACGTAAAATTAGTGTCATATAATTTTAAAAGAAATTATTCTTGTACTTACCTTAAGACTTGTTTCCACTTCTTATCTAGTCAGTCCAAAGAATTGCTGTCAGCCATCCTGACTGTAAAGTAATCCTTCGTAGCAATTCTTTCCATTGTCAGCAGAATTTGTATCTTTTCCTTCTGTATCACTCAGTTTCGAACTAAGAGCTGTTTGTCTGCCTTTGCTTTAGTAAATCTATCAGTTGGTGAACCAGCTACCGTTGGCTTCCAATACTGCGTATTTAGTGAGGAGGAGTGATGCAAACTAAGGGGAGGAAAAAGAAGGTGTGATGTTTTAAGAGCCAATGGGAGGTGATTAACATGCCAGCGCAACCCTCGTCTGCCTTTGTAATACTGTTTCTACCCAGACAAGAAGATGGGATGGTTCTCCTACCTCTTTTTCCCTCCACCTCATCCACTGTAGATGTTAGAAGCATTTAAAGAAGACCTAGATGTCTTTGTGCATTCTTAAATGCAATTCTTTCAAACATGCTAAGAAAAAACACTCCTCATTTGCCTAAAACCAGCATTAATTAATTTAATTAATTAATTATTAAAAACAACTGCATCAAATTTTGTATATTGTGCTGAACACACAAAACACCAAAAGCCCACTCATGGATACACAGCATCCTTGCTCTTGTATCTTCTGTCCTCTTGACTAAGCTCTATGAGAGACCATAACATTTTTCTCCAAGGAACATTCCTCAGACACAATGACAAGATGGTTTGAGCATAAGCATACTGAAGCCACACCAGGATTATGGTAACTGTTTCTTTTCTCTCTCTCTCTCTCTGATAAACCATCAAATGACTTCTCCCTCTCCATATTTTCAACAATGGGTAGCAACCCAGTGCCTACCAAAGGACACCAAGGAGACAGAGGAGATGTTATTTGTTGTGTCCCTGGAGCCACCATCTTGTCTCCCTTTACAGGCTCCAGCATCCACTCAAAAAGAAAAGCACCCCTAGAGCCAGCTAGAACTCCTCAGGGCTTCTGTAGGTACAAGCTAAAACAGACAAAACAAGAGAACACACTGCAGTAGAGAAAAAGACAAGGAAACTATGCAGAAGCGTGTCAGTCACATTAGTTTGCTGCTGTATTTGTCTACACTTACCAATATGACTTTAATTACACAAATTATTTGATACGCCTTTGATACTTTCTCAAACCCAAACACCTTACAAACTGCATAAGAGAAAATGACAAAATGCAAAATTCTATACTATCACAACCATAGCAGTTAACTTGAACATATGATCTATGGCAAGAAGTGTAATATTGAGGAACGGGGATAGAACTCCTAATTAATTTTAATATACATATATCCCATTGTCAATCATGACTGAAACCCTTAAAACTATTATTTTAAACAATTAAAGACTTTATTGGTTTGCAATTTTTCATCTGATTTGACGGTTCTCCAAACTAAGTTCAACGCTCCCAAATCAGACTTGTTACTTTCAGGAAGCCTGGCAATGAATTTGGCTGGTTGCTATGGCTGGACAGTCGCTTTGCAGGAGATGTCAGAAAAAGATCACAGTCCACCTGGAAACGTGCAGTGCATGCAGTGCTCATCAGCTGAAGTGTAATGGAACCCTCCTTATCCGTCGTATATTGCATTCCACGGTTTCAATTCCCTACGATCAACCTCTGTCCAAATATTATTGAATGGAAAATTCCAGAAATAAACAATTAATAGGTTTTAAATTGCGAGACCACATTCACATAACTTCTATGACAGTATATTGTTATCTCTTGTCATCTCTTATTGTGCCTAATTTATAATTTGAATAGGTATGAATAGGACCAGAGGTTACAGAAAATAGATGGATATATACTGTATATAGGGAAAAATATGACATTAAAACCATTGACAAGTGAAGTGAATAGCATTGATTATCTCATTACAATGGCACCTGTCTAGGGTGCCAATATATATTAGGCAAATGAACAGTCAGGTCTTGAAGTTGATGTGTTGGAAGCAGGAAAAATGGGCAAGTGTAAGTGTCTAAGCGACTTTGATAAAAGCCAAATTGTGATGGCTAGATGACTGGATCAGAGCATCTCCAAAATGTTAGGTCTTGTGGGGTGTTCCTGGTGTGTAATGGTCAATAACTGCCAAAAGCGGTTCCAGGAAGGCCATCCAGTGAACCTCCTTCTGCTCTCCATGCTCTGGTACAGAGTAACAGGGCATCCCATTCTTTACTAGGAAGTAGGTTTCTAGCAGTCAGCCCTGTGTACAGTGCGCCGCCTCCACCACCAGAACCGGACTCCAACAATACTTCAGCTGGTTGTGTGTCTTCTGTTTGCTGGCAAAATGACTGCCCATTGTAACTGTTATGTCAAACAATGGGTGGTGGCCAGCAGCAAGTTGTCTACCATGATGGGTTCAATCCCAGCTGACCTTCCGGAGGGTCACGGCACTCCCAGTGTCCTAGTAGGCGGATGCAGGCTCACCCTCTGCATGTGCCGTGGGGCACCGCTTTATGGGTTAGTGGATGCCCAAATTTCCATCCAGGTTTTAATGATGGACTGGCCCCCTGGATCGGTGAGCATGGGCTTATCAAGGTGGGTAGCACCTCGGCCGACCCTAGGGAGGGAGGTGTCTGGCTGTTCAGTCCGGATATCTCCACACGATAGATTCCTCCTCCCTAGAACTAGGGCGATGAGCCCAGGGTGTAAGCATTTTCCAGGTCCCCATCTTTCTTACCATGGTTGTCATGGAGGAAACCCCTATGACGTCCCACGGTGCTTCCTGTCCACGCCCTCAGAGAATCCCAAGAAGGGATGTTCCTTCGCCGCATGTCCCAGTTAGGAGCAGTTAGCTGCATACTCACTCTTTCAGCTGTGTTCCATTGGGGTTTAATGGTCTGTCTTACTTATTCATACGGTGTCATGTTTACCTTTGCCTGTCTGCTAGCCTGCCTGCCTGTGTCTTGACCCTATTTTCACTTTTTTGAATTTGTGTCTTGCTAACCCCTTTGAGTAACTACGGTAATCACCAGAACTCCTGCTTGTCTCCGGATTCTGAGTTTAGCCCTGACCCCTGACCCCTGACCCCTGGCATCATTACCAACTGTGTCTAGTCATATTTAATTGAGTCTGTGCATTTAAGTGCTTCCCAGTTAGTCTTTCCCCAGTCTTGAAATTGATGTCGTTATATTATTAGTGTTCTTTGTGTTCCTGATTGTGTTCATCCCTAATAAATCCCTCGTTCCCCGATTCCTCAGCTCCCTTCACCTGCTTGCCTGCCCCGCATCACGACAGAATGACAAGACTCGAAAAGAAGACACCTCGCCTGACCGAGGCTGAGTACCTTGTCGATGACAACAGCTCGGAAAAAGAAAAGGCAGAAGAACCGCGGAGAGATGGACTCTCCGAACCCTACTTGTCTTCTCGTGGCAGGGCGGGAGGCTTGCCTCCCGATTCTCGACCCAGCGGTATATCAGAGTGAGAACAAAGCCATGAGGTCCAGAGCATTGTCAGCAGACCTATGGACAGGACTGTAGCAAGACACAGATCTACAGAAGGATACAAGAACATTTCTACAGCATCAAAGGTGCCCCAGAGCACAGTAGCCTCTATGATTCTCAAAGGGAAGAGATCTGGAGCTACCAACACTCTTTCTAGATCTGGCCATCTGACCAAACTGAGTGATCAGGGATGAAGGATCTTGGTCAGTCAGGTAACCACTATGAATGAGATCCAGAGATCCTTTGCAGAGATGGGAGAACTGTACAGAAGGACAACCATCAATGCAACACTCCACCAATCAGATGGAAGCATTATCTCACTAAAATGCACATGACAGCTTGCTGGGAGTTTGCCAAACAGCATCTTAAGGACTCTCAGACTATGAACATAAGAACGAGAAATTTACAAAGGAAAGAAGGCCATTCGGCCCATCAAGCTCCTATGGGGAGAACTTAACTAATAGCTGAATGAGATTCTATGAGAATCAAAATCCTCTGGTCTGATGAAACAAAGACTGAACTATTTGGCCACACTTACCAACAACGAGTGTGGAGGTGACCAGGCACTGAGCATAACCCTGGCAGCCCTACAGTCAAACACGGCGGTGGAAGCATCACGCTGCAGGGATGTTTTGTTGCGACAGGGACTGAGAGACTAATCAGGATAGAGGGAAAGATGGATGCAGAAAAATATAGAGCAATCCTCAGTTTAAACCTTTTGCAGTGCTCTGGATCTTAGGCTGGGGTGAAGGTTTACATTCCAACAGGATAGCGACCCAAAGCAAACTGCTAAGAAAACAAAGGAAAGGCTTGAGGAAAACACTGTGAAAGTCCTGGAGTGCACCAGCAAGAGCCCAGACTTGAACCCAATAGAGCAGCTCTGGGACCTTCAGAGAACTGGAAATGGCTATGCACCAACACTGCCCATCCAACCTGGCCGAGCTTGAACGATTCTGCCAAGAAGAAGGTTGTGCAAAGCTTGTAGGAGCAGGAAGACTTGAAGCTGTCACTGCTGCCAAAAGTGCTTTAACGAAGTACTAAGTGAAGGGTCTGAATACTTATGTAAATGGGATATTTCAGTTTCCTTTTTTAGTAAATTAACAAAACACTCAAAACAGTTTTTTTGCTTTGTCATCATGGAGTGTTGTGTGTGGACTGATTATGAAAAAAATGAATTTAATCCATTTTAAGATGAGTCTTAGATAACAAAATGAGGACAATTAAAACCTAGCTTCTGTCTAAATGAACATTAGAGTTGGGTTCTAAGGCTGCATTATTTTATCTAAAATCATGCCACAGTAATAAAAGTTGTATAAACATTTGTCCTGTTGTTGTTGCACCACAATTCACAAACCATTAAATGGGTTTAACAACAAGCCCAGGGATGTACAATATATGGACAAAAGCATTGGGATGCACCTTTTATTAATTGAATTCAGGTGTTTCATTCAGACTCATTGTCATAGGTGCATGAAATGATGCAGTGAGGTTTAATTACACATCAGTACTAAATACTGTACGGTTTTTTAAATTTTCCATTCCAGTCCAATTTATTTATTTAATAGCTCTTAAAGTACATTGAAATACTGAGAAATCAATACAAACAGTATCAGAATTACAGGCCCTGAACAAGGTAGGTGCAGGATTATAGGAGACTAGGGCTTTCACAGGTGAGTCTTGGACCCAAGCAAACACACTGAGAAAATTTAATGATGGTAAGATGGTAAGATTAAAAGAATATGGTATTGACTATATTTAAAATATAATTATTTCATTCACAGTCAAAGAGAAAGTGCTGATATGCTGTGTTGCCAGAGGAGAGAATCCAAAATGGGCAGATGGTTGCATGTTTACATGTAATGTTTATTCAAAAGTTCAGAAATAACTGCAGGAAAAACCCGAATACAACAAATGAAGAAATACCCAGGATTCTCTCTCCTGATGATAAATGCTGCTATGAAATACACATTATAATGTAAGATTAGCTAAAATTATTTCACTCAAACCTTGCACAAATCTGGGCTGCAACTTGTATAATACTACCTCAAATAATATTTATGGAACAGAGCTTTTAAATTTCAAAATCAGAATACCAACTGAATTCTAGTAACAGACTTCATATAACATTCTACCATGTGTATGTCTCAAAAGCAAATGACAATCTTCATTTAACCTAAATCATACATGAATGCTAACGCTGTTGAAATACAGCATATGTATACATATACAGTAACTTTTCACTATACACTATATGCATGTAAGCTATATACATGGTACATATATGCAATTTAACACATTAGCGAAAATTGGTTGTGAGACGCAAATTAAATCAGTACATCAAATAAACTTTGTTAATAGTCTTTATTTTTTAAAAACGTCTATGGGTATTCATACACTCACCTAAAGGATTATTAGGAACACCTGTTCAATTTCTCATTAATGCAATTATCTAATCAACCAATCACATGGCAGTTGCGTCAATGCATTTAGGGGTGTGGTCCTGGTCAAGACAATCTCCTGAACTCCAAACTGAATGTCAGAATGGGAAAGAAAGGTGATTTAAGCAATTTTGAGCGTGGCATGGTTGTTGGTGCCAGACAGGCCGGTCTGAGTATTTCACAATCTGCTGGGATTTTCACGCACAACCATTTCTCGGGTTTAAAAAGAAT